CCTGGCCATGGCCGCGCTGCATATCGTTGCCCAGTCTGAATTATTCTCTGATTGCCTTGCGGTAGTCAATCATTTCCGCCTGCCCCCCCAGTGAAAGGCTGTCCTATCGTAGAAGATATGCGGGGCACTTATATATATATATATATATATATATATATATATAATGCCCCACACGTCCGTGAAGTGGTCAGGGTCAAGGCCCACCAGGACGTGGATGAGGTGGGTGTTTCCGTTTCCGAACGACTGTTGAGGGTTGGGAATAATTTCGCGGACCAAGCCGCCCAACGAGGCGCTCGATCACACCCTCAGCCGTCTGCCAATGAAGTTGAGCGCGTCGCCCGATGCGTCAGCATCCGTAAATTGGTTTGTCGACTTGCTGCCAAGCTTTTGCCTTTATGGCTTCGGCTGGACCTGGGGGATTGCCCGCTGGTTAACCCTTGTCGCACCATCGCTGTTCTTGCGGAACCCTCGGCCCCGCACGCGTGGCAATGGCAGCATTCTGTTTGGAGGTGCACGGTATGTAGAGTTGGCTCACGTTCGGTCACTAAGCCACCTAGTGGGAAATGCTTACTGACCGCCAATTATGATTTGGATGTGGTCGACTCTTTAGGGCACAGCGTGGTGGTCTTTCCGTGCTCTAAGGGTGCCGTTTTTTTGTTCTGCCCGAAATGCGGGGGTTATGCACCGGGCCGTTTTCGTGAAAACCGCCCTGTCCAGGACATGTGCACAAGAGCTCAAGGGTCACGGCCTCGCGAATTTCAATACGATTATCCAAGGGCGGCACCGTCGCAAGTCGCTCTTGAAAATAGGCAGGCCTGAGGAACTGCCTGCCGACCATGTTCCCCGCTCCTCGTTCGAGCTCCCTCCCTCGATGACGACGTGGATGATCTCGGCCCCCAGGTGCCCCGACAAGCGGCGATGGGTCTGCGCTTGGATAGCGCCGCCGCGGGAGCCAGCAGCAGGGCCGCGGGCTCTGCCCCTTGTGGGCGAGGTCAGCAGGAGCTCCACCGCCAGGAGGAGTCAGACAGTTCGGATTGACTCACCGCTCCTTCATGTCTGTCTCTGGCGGCTGGCCTGCGGTTTCCCTTGTTTCTAGTGTTTCCTCTGGCGCGCGGCCCGATGCGACCGCCCTTCTGGCAGGCGCCCGTGCAATGCCCCGTCTGGGGCGAGGGCGGGGGTCATGGCGACCCGACCGCGGCCTCCCCTTCTTAGCTCGCCGCCCTGCTAGTCTGTGTCCCTTTCGTTGGAGCGGAAGGCGGCGGGTCCTTGATCGCTCTGCCCAGTTGGTCTTTGGCCGTATCTGGAGGGCCCACCATGAGGGCGCTGGCTCAGGGTGCGAGTTGGGCCCGCGCCTGGGGCAGTCCAGGGGCCGTCCAGGCGTCCGCCCTTGGGGTTAGGTGCACCTGGGGTTTCCTGGCTGTCGTCCTGGCGTCGCCCTTTCGTTAGCATAAGGCCCGATGGGACAGACCCCAGGGTAGTTTTCAGTGTGCATGCCCCACATCTGGGGCGAGGCTCGCCCTGGCGCTCTTGGCACCTGGGGCGGCTGTCCTCGTCGTCCTTGTGTGGGTGGTCGAATTATTTGTCTTTCTGTTTCGAGATTCGTTTCTCTGGCTACAGGCCAGTGGTGTACTGCGTGCGTTCGGCTTGTGCGCGCGCACGTTTCCGTTCTGCGCGCGTGTCAGGCACCCCGCCTCAGGGGGAAGGCGCATGGCACACTCGCTGCAATGTTGTGTGCTAGACGTGGGCCTGGCACGGGGGCTCGTCGCCCTGACCGTTGCCTTGCTCAATTTCGTTGTCTGCCTTAGTCCTGGCGTTCGTTCGCTAGGTCGTGGGCTTACTCGTGTGCGTGCTGCGCGTTGGCTGCGTGAACGTGTGTCAGGCGCCCCATTTGTGGGGGATGGTGCGATGCGCGCGTGATGGGTCCCCGCGTTTCTTGAAGGTGGAGGCGGTCGCCCTGGCCTCTCCCCCTCTTTTTCCCCGTGCTGGGGGCGGCTCGCCTGGGGCACGGCCAGGGGCCCTCGGAGGCCACTGGCGACAGCTGCGCAGGCGAAGCCAGTGGGAGGTTCCCCCCCCCCCCCCCCCCCCTCCGCTCAGCGCGGAGGAGGCAGCCTCCCTGGGCGCAACGGAGCCCAGGGTGGCGTTTTTACGCCAATGAGCGTCCTCTGAGGGTTTCGCCAGCCCTCAGTTGTATCGTGGCTGCTTTGTGGATGTTACTCTCATCTTGAGCAGTGTTCAACTCTGATCGGGGTCGCCGCTGAACCGTTGGCTTGCCTGGACGATTTATGCGGGGATCTCCCATCCAGAATTATAGCATTTTGGTGAGTTTTCCAGGTGTCCCTATCTCGTCTTCCTCCCCCACTGCGGCTGCAGCCGATGAGCCATAGTGGTTTGAATCGGGGGCGCCACCTCATATTTGGCATGCCGCCATTTGCCACGGACTGCAAGCACCTCTTTGTGATGCGTCGGGATCGTTTGATCGTATCAAGCTCAACAGGCTGCTGCACGCTTTGCGTCAGTTCGAGACCCCTGCGGCGATGATCGATATGATTCAAGGTATTTACACAGCTCGGGAATTTGTTGTGAGAGATGGACATAACGCGTCTTCACAACGTTCGCAAAACGCTGGCATCGCTCCAGGTTGCCCTTTATCTCCTTATCTTTTCCGAATCCTCATGTCGTTTCTTATGGAAGTCGTGGATCACGAGATGAACAACACCCCCGAAACACGAACCCAAAGCTATCTCGTCACACGGGACATCTTGTGTGCCGACAGCACGGTGCTTCTCGCGGACACGCCGGACGCACTGCAGAGCCATCTGGATTTAGTTACGAAGGTTGTGCAGACTTTCGGATTGGAGCTCAACGAAAGTAAAACGTTGTTGATGAGGATCCGTTCGGATGCTGTCAAAATTCGGCCAGGAGGCGAAGAAATCCAGCGCAAAGATCACGCAATCTATTTGGGCGGGTTTCTAAGCTCTAGTGGGAATCCACACCACGAGCTTACAAGGCGGCTCGGGCAAGCTAAAGGCGCATTCCAACATCTTTGTGCTGTGTGGAACCACGCGAATCTGAGCAGGTAGAAGAAAACAGACATTTTGAAGACATGCATATTTTCAAAATTGTTGTGCGGGTTGGAGTCATGTCTCTTACTCTCGCGTGATCTTGATCGACTCGACGGTTTCCAGGCGAGGCGCCTCCGAAAATTTTGCAAGATTCCTCCGTCGTTCGTTTCTCGCGCAAGCAAGGTTGACGTACGAGCAACAGCAAATACACGCCAATTATCACTTGATTTATTGCGGCGGTAATTGAAGTGTTACGGTAAGCTTGCGAAGTCGCTTTCAAAGCCATTTCCAAAGACAACGTTGCTTGAACGCGGGCTTCTCCCCCGCAAGTGGAAAAAACATAGTGTGCAGAAAAGGGAGGCCACGATTACAGTGGACCTGTTGCATGCACGCCCGGGCTCTGAGCGCAGCGGGGGGCGACTCGCAATTTTCGTAACATCTGTTGCATTCTCCGCAGTGGGAACACAATGTCGATCAGCCGATACAGACATTATGATTGTGTTCGCCGTCGGTGCCTCCCCCCTCCTCCCCCCCTCCCTTCGTCGCCTCGCCTCCCTTCCCTCCCCCCCCCCTCTTGACACGGAGTGTCGCTGCTTACCCTCGCGCGCCATGTGTGCAAATCCTGCGCATGGTGGCCGGGCGAGGCTCAGTGATCTATTCTTCGTATGCGTTCGCACATTTTGTGCCGATGCGCCGTCAGGGCGCGGCTCTTTCTGTCTGTCTGTCTGTCTGTCTGTCTGTCTGTCTGTCTGTCTGTCTGTCTGTCTGTCTGTCTGTCTGTCTGTCTGTCTTCTCCAGCCCCGAAGGAGCCAACGGGTTCCCCGAAAGGCCCACGAGGGCTTCAAGAGGACCAGGGTCCAAAGACGGCCCAGGACTGCCCCAAAAGGGTACCAAGACTGCCGAAGAGCAATATGGCCCCATGGTGGCACACGCAGCAAACGAGTCCAAGATGACCCCCTTGGACCCTCGCGGACCCCAACACGGGCCCACAGGGCGTGAAGGCAGCCCAGAGTTGGCCGCGCGAGAGCCCCGCTATGGTCGAGGATGTCGACGACGACGACGACGACGACGGTGGTGGTGGTGGTGGTGAGGAGGAGGAGGAGGAGGAGGAGGAGGAGAAGAAGGAGGAAAAGGAGGAGGAGGAGGTGGAAAAACACGTGACAGCAGCACCCCGCCTGATCCCCCTCCTATCTCGTCCTCCTCATCGTCCTCGTCTTCATCCTCACCGTATTCCCCTGTCCTTCTTCCCTCCTCCCTAGAGACTCCTCTTCTCCCTCCTTCTTCCCGCCTTCCTGCCCATCCCCACCTCCCCTCTTCTCCTTTCCCCCATCTTGGCCTAGGCAAAGCGCTGGGGCGGTGGTGGTAATAGGGGAAGGCAGCATCAGAGGGACATAATGCTTAACTCTGTGCGTACTTGTGTTTCGTTGTATACCCTTCACCCTAGCCCGAGCACCAAATCGGATCGCGCCTGCAGCGATGAGAGCGGCGGCTTCGAATCCCGCGGCATGGCCCTCCTTGTGCGCTATGCGCAAGGCTCCGAGACAACAGCGCGCGCGAAGCCAACTCGATGGTCCGGGTCAATGTCTGACCGAGCACGTAGTGTTTCTACGCTATGCTTGTTCGAGGTGTTTGCGGGCGGGGATCTTTCTGACGCCACCCGCGAGTTTCTGCGTACTGCTCGTACATGTCGGCGGCGAGCGAGGGGGGGAAGTGAGAAGAAGAAGAAGAAGAAGAAGGCCTTCTCAGAAGACGGCGGGCCTCCTTAGAAGCCCTCAGCCCTCGTGCCTTCTAAGAGGTTTTCTGTGTCTTCGGGGAAGGCTTAGAACACTTCCCGGAAGGCCCGATGCCTTCCGAGCCTTCTGAGAAGGCCCGCCCCCTCTCACTTCCCCCCGGCGCGCCGCCGCTTCAGACCCACCGCTCAGACCCGCCCTCCTGCAGGTGCAGCTGTGCGAGTTCCGGCAGTTCCTCGAGCGGGGGCTCGCAGCGCACGTCAGGCCGAGCACGGGCGGCGAGGCGGCGCTGGTGTGTGTGGGGGGGGCTGGGGCCTGCGAGGCCTCGTTGGGATGCAACTCCTGGGAGGTTTAGCTCAGCATCGGCGCCGGCATGTCCTTGGTAGACATCCTGCCGACGTGATTCGCCATGGGGGAAGCGGGTCCTGAGGGAAACGGGTCCTGAGGTTTTTCGCCGTTTTCGGGCTCTCGGGGCCCTCCAAGGGACCCAGGACTGTCAGAAAACGATGCAGGATGAAGATCTGGTCCTGGGGGGTTGGCCGGGGGGTCCAGGGCCCGTTTCCCTCAGGACCCGCTTTCCCTATGCTAGCGATATGATCATGCTTGGCAGTCCTGGGGCGAGTCCGGGTCACCTCGGCTCGGCCGCCCCGCCATCGGGCCTAGCTGCCCCTCCGCCGATCCCGCGAAGGCCTCCCAGTAGTTGCCGCCCAAGACGCGCAGGCGGGGGCCTCGGCGCAGAAGCGCGCCAGGGCCAGGTCGCCGCCCAAGCCGCCCTCCCCGAGATCGCCCGCCCCGCTTCTGCACACCGAACGGCCGCGGGTGCCCGCCACTGTCCCGTTCAGGTCGAGGCGCTTCCAGCGGGACCGAGTCGGCACGCCGGCGCGGCCCGAGATCGTGGAGTGTACGTTGTGCAGAAGCATGGTGCCCCAGAGCCAGTTCAACGAGCACCAGAGGTCGGGCGAAGGGCTCTACACGCATAGCCCACCGCCCTCCTGGCCAGACGCATCCTGGGCCCTGGACCTGTGTGCGGGCGCTTTCTGTCCAAGCCAGGGGAGCGCATGCACCGCTCCTGGGCTGGGGGGAAAGACAAGCTTTCAACAAACTTTCCTCGGGCTTGGTTTTGGAAGGTTACTGGGAAGAAGTTGTTTTTTCGCTCGCGTTTTGGATAGCTTCCAAGAGACAGCCATTCAAGCCGTCCTCGTCGTGCAGTTCTCGCCACCCCGCGAGGGAGTGCTTCCTGGCGGCCCGGGAGGAGCAGGGTCGCAACAAGCGGATCACGATCCGGGGGCTGAGGTGACGGCCGGACCGCTCTCCCTGCGCCCGAGAACCCTGGCTTGCTCGTCGGGCAAGGGCTGGCTTGTCCGGTGGGGCGCTGGCTTGTCCGATGGGGCCGTGCTGGAACTGGCCAGTTGGACGACGAGAACCCTGGTGAGCTCTTCGGGTGCCCCTGTGTGAAATCTTTGAGAAAACCGTCGACACTCGTGGACTCCGACTTTCGTCAAAGAAGCCAGCAATCGGGACCAGATCCTGGGCGTTCTCTTGGAGTAGCATGTCCGTGTATGTGGACCTGGGCCACTGGTGAAGTGAACATGCTTCGAATGAAGTCCATGTTCTTAGCCTAAGATTTCCTTAGCTCTAAGCAGGGATGTACCCGTCGGTCGCTGAAGGCAGGTATTTTTTATCGTCGGATCCGTATCTACTTTCGGCGCCTTCCTACTTAAATGATCAGGTGGTCTCACCTTTTCCTTCCTCTTCAGGGGGCGGGCGGAAACCCAACCTACTCTCAACGCCTTCCTACTCCATGGTTCTGCCAACTTCTTCCGACCGACGGGTAAAGGGCTTGTCTGCCGCCTGGGAGGGGGCCGCGCCAGGCTTGCCCGTTGGGCACGGCCTCGGCGCACCTGGGCGGGCACCCGCGCGGCGTGCCGAGCAGCAGACGACCGGCTGCGACGCGGGCGCGGTGGCGGAGAAGGCGGCGCGGCGACGCCAGCGGGGAAGGCGCCGAGGTCGGCGCGCGCCCTGGCGCCGCCCAGAAGCAGCACGGCGAAGCCGGGCGGCACGCGGCGGCGCCGCAGGCGGAGAGCTGGGCTTCAGAGAAGGAGAGGACAACGATGCCGCTGCCCTTCCCTCGTCGCCACGGCTGGATTCGCCGCGACATCTTGGTCAGAACGCACCCCCGGAGAGGTCGGTGGAGTAGCAGTGTCGGTACCTTTTTGTTCCGGCAGGGCCGGACGAACGGGGGGAGTGGGGATTGCTTGCGGCGCACGGGGTTGGCGCGATGGGGGAGGCCTTCGGAGAAGGCGGGCGGCCTCTCAGGTCGCAGGGGCCTTTGAGAAGGGCCTGGGGGATTTCAAGAAGCCTTCTCAGAAGCCAGGCGGGCTTCTAAAAAGCCCCCGCCCTCTAGGAAGGCCGTCCCCTCCTTGCGCCCTCTTCCCCGGTACGCGCCGCCAAGATCAGGAAAGGGCGGGTCGTGAAATCTGCTGCGTGCACCCTGTTTCGGCCTCGCCGCCGGGCCCCTTACCTCGATGTGAGGCCGCCTCGGAAATGGGAGGCGCTGGGGACACCAGGTGTTTGAGCTGGGTCGCTCCCCCCTTGCTGCGCCATCCCTCCCTCTTCGGGCGGCGTCAACTGACCACCTCCTCCATCCTGGCCAGGCCTGGGGTCGGGAACTTTTGGACAGCGTGCCACTTCGCAAATTCTGGCCCACCACGCTTCGGCGCGACACGTTATCCGCGTCCCAGTCCCCGCGCGTCAACGTCCTGAGCGTTTCCGAGTCTCCCGCCCCGCGGAGCGACACGCTGCCCGCTCGCGGGGCAGTAGCGTGTCGCCGGGGCCGCCGCCGCGACACATTGAGCAGAAATTCCGGATCGTATCCTGTGCCCACGATCGGTGTACTCGACGGAGGCTTAAGACCAAACGGAGTGCTCGGTCTCCATCTGGGCTTTCTCCGTCTGGACTTAGCGTCTCCTGACAAGAGGCCAAGTCTGTACAGAGAAAGTCTATACGGGGTGCTCGGTCTCCGTCTCAGCTTACTCCGTCTGGACTTAGCCTCTGCTGGTGTATGCGTCCTCCGGGTCTGGCCAACATAGCACACACGCACACACTTTAAACGTCCCAGCGCGGCAGAGGTGATCCGCACGCGCGCTCCAGTTGGCCGGGGGCGGGCGAACTGGTAGTCTGGCTGCAAGAGGGGAGAAGGGGGCCGAGGGCGGCCGCGGGAGGCGGGTGAAAGCGGGAGGGTGCGTGCTGCACGAAACCTTCGTCAGGAGTGGCCGGTGCGGCCAACTGTGCTGACGCAGCCTGGCAGGTGACCAGGAGCGGCATTACGGCCGCACCCAGGGCTGAGGCAGAAGCTTCAGGCGCAGAAAGCGTAGCTCAAGTAGTGCCAGTACGGGAGGAGCGGCAAGCGAGCCCACAGCAGCGACAATGGGGGCATCGGGGTGTCTGTCGTGAAGCCGTAGGGGATAGGCTTTGCTGCAAGGGTACGGCGCGAGCAGGATGCGAGCATCGCCGGAGCGACCATGGGGCGCTGGGGCCATCTCGGCCGTGCAGCAAAATTTTGTCATGATGCCAACCAGAGCAGCTGAGCAGCTGGGCCGTAACAATTGAACTGCTGAGCTGCATCTGCTGCGCGGCCACAGACTGCTGAGTTGCGGCGACTGAGCTGGGAGAGCCAGGAACGCCCGGCCGCAGGACTGGGTACGCGCGGGCGCCCGACTGCAGGAGCAGCGGGGCACACCCACATTAGGTGTCATCGGCCTGAGAGTTATTTCAGTCATAAGCGTTGCGCTCTGATGCTTATGAAGTCTCACTAGCTTCAATTAGCTTCGGTTAAGGTTGGTCATTGAGCCCGGCCCGGCCCGCGCCGCTGCATCTTGTCCTCGATAGTACAGCCGGGCCTGCGCCAGTCCAGCGCATTGCGTTGTAGCCCTGCCGCCCTGGCCGACATGCGTGCTAACAGGGCCCTGGCAGCCCGGCCCAAATCAATGCACCCAGCTTTGTCTGTCCAGCTCAGTTCAGCGCACTTCGGCATAGCCCAGGTTGCCCCGGCGGGCCCGTCTGCTAACGGAGCTCGCGCAGGCGAGCAGGCATCGCATCCGTTCGTCGGGCGGCAGCAGCGTCGCCCGCTCATGATGCGGGTTCGCGGCGTCTCCGAGCCGCCGAGAAATGGGCCAGGCCCTTGTCCAGATGTGCCAGTCCCAGTTGTCCGGCTGCCCGCGTCGTCCACCGAGCAAGGGGCGCTCAAACGGGGCCCCAGCGCGGATTCGACCCCGGCGGCTACCGAGCGCTGCGCGGCCCGATCGAGTCGTCAGCGCCGTGGCCCCCGCGGCGCCGCTCTGCAGCGTATGAAGCGCATCTCTTTGGCGACGGCGTCGGAATCCGGGGCCCGCCTTGCAACCGCACTTTTGCAGGGGTCCTCTTCGCGAGGGCCGCGTTGGATGTTGTTGAGGCGGCTGCCCGAGCATGGCGCGCTGCGGTCGACCTCGAGCTCGGCAATGCTCGCAGGCGCGCATCCTCTGGCGCGCGCTCGCAGATCGCCCGCGGCGGGGGCGGCGATGGAGCCGACGACGGAGGAGCGAGTCGCTGGTTTGCCGAGTCGGGTGACGTTGGAGCGCGGGGCCGGAGTGGTGGCCGTGTCGAGGCGCAGTCTTTATGCCACTTGCGGTTGTCCCTCGGGCTGGCCAGGCCGCGCCGCTGTTGCCCCCCGCCCCCCGTTGACCTCCTGGAAGACATATGCCGATATTATGCACAATCTCACGAGGCCGGTGTGGAGGAGCGCGCCGGGCTGGCACTTCGCCCCAACGTGGCAAGCAGCAGGCGCACATCGGCGGGCGGGGGAGCGCGGCCGCAGGGCCAAGCGGAGGCCCGAGTTCAGTCTTCCGCGCCACGTTGGCCACGGCCGAGGCGGCGCGCAGAGACCGCGGCGCCCGCGGCCCCTCCGCCGCGGCAGGACCGCCAACACTTGGCATCGGGTCGTTGCTGCTCTCTGATGGTATATATGCTGCCCTCTGCTGCTCTCTGCTCTGGTCTGCCGTCTCGCCGCGCGCCCTGCGACCCGCGTCCAATCAATATCTGGCCCCCCGTTGCCAGCGTAGCGTGCGCGGTTTTTGGAGCAGGCCCCGACCAGCGACTGCACGGATGCGACCTAAACGCGCGCTGGGAACAGCGCGACGTCTCTAGGCGGCTCCGATGGACGCGTCAGTTGGGCGCTTGCCATGCCGTGGCATCCAGCGCGCGACGTTGCTGCAACCCTCCTCGAGTGCTCGCTGCACCTCGCAGCGCGCGCGTGACGCTGGGCGCCCTTCCAGGATGCGCCGTGCCATGCCGCGCTGTCCGCCTAACCAGGCTGGAACCGCGTGCTCCGTCGATGCCGCGGCCTGGGGGGCACCCTGCCATGCGCTCGGGAACGCCGCGCCGCGATCCCGGCCTCCAGGGAAGAGGGGGAAGATGGAGGGGGCAAATATAGCACCCCGCAGTTGCGGATAAGAGTGAGGGGGCGGGCGCGGGGTGGGCCGCGGGGCGGGGCGCCGCAGGGGGGGTCGCGGGTGGGTCGCGGGCGGGTCGCGTGGCGGGTCGCGGGGTGGGTCGCGCGTGGGTCGGGCGGGTCGCGGATGGGTCGCGGGCGGGGTTCGCGGGGGAGGGGGGGGGGCGGCGACAAAATGAGAATCAGCGTCGCGGAGCTTCACTTCAGCCACGCACCCGTGGACAATGAATGACCGTTCGGGGCCCCTCGCTCTGATCAGGGAGGTAGGCGACGGTGCGGTGAGAACATGGGTGGGCCACCGAGGGCCAAGTGGAGCCACGGCGCTCGGATCTACCGCGAACTAATCGGATCTAGCGCGGGCTGATAACATCCCCGCGTGGCCGAGCAGCTCGGAGCTACGACGAACGACGACGAACTAATAGTAGCTGACCTGGTGCCAGCACATCAGGGCCCCACGGAGAAACATATTGGGGGCTCCCCCGAGATATTTCGAGCTAGTGCGAGCTGATGCGAGCTCAATGGGGCTCCGCGGGGCAAGATGTTCCAAGGCGGGTGCGATCTATAACGAGCTAGTGCGACCGAGCGCGCCAGTGCGACCTCGTGACGTGAGCGCGGGGCCCGCCACTTAGGCGGCGCGAGTAGTCGCAAGCTGGCGCAATGCAGTCGGCGCAAGTAGTGCAGGCTAATTCAGCTAACTCGCAACATTTAGCTAATTTAGTTAAACTAGCTCGAGCTAGCTCGGCTAATTTAGCTAGAACAGCTCGAGCTTACACGAGTTAATTTAGCGAATCAGATCGAGCAGCTACGACCTAACTTAATGAATTCGCTCGTACTAGCCCGAATTAGTTCGGCTGGTACGAGTTAAGGCGAGCTAATTCGAGCGAGTACGAGCTACACTAGCTCCATTAACTTATACTAGTTCGAAGTAGCTCGAGCTATTACGAGCTAATTCGAGCTAATTTAGTTAATTCGCTCGAATTCGCCGTGCTAGCTCAAATTAGCTCGTATTAGCTTGTAGCAGCCTGTACTCGCTCGTATTAGCTCGGCTATTCTTGCCCCTTGGAGTCTTCCTGGGCTCTAATCAGTTCGCGTGATCTTGGATTAGTTCGGGCCCCTCCGGACTCGGATTGCTGGTCTCGGAGGGCACTGGGGGCCTTTTGGGGGGCAGTTTGAAGGCTTCTTCGGGGCTGCTTCTTGGGGGCTTCCCAGGCGCCTCTTGGGGGCCTCTT